TACCGGGGACTGTCCGCGGCTGCCAGCCCCGGGAGTGGGGAGAGGGGACAGGCCAGGGTCTGGAAGGAGCTGATGGCCCTCTACAGCCAGGCTGGGGGCACCTTGGGCAACGTTGCTCCCTTCCGTGAAGTGATACAGAGTGCTCCATTTGCAGTTTGCTCCTTGCATCAGGTATCGTGGGTCTTGGTAGCGTTCCCGTGGTCTTCCTCGGTTGGTGTTCCTGATAGATAGAGGCTGTTGCTGTGAGAAGTCCTGCTCAAGCTCAGAGAAATTCACATCATCTTGCATTTATTGTGATAGAAATAACTTAATTTTGCTTGCCAAGTCCAAGCCATAGTGCTAGTGCCTTAACAATTCTCTGCCTTGCTTTTCTAGATAGAGCTGGAGAAAAGCCAGTATTCAGATCATGAAATCCGCAAGCTGGAGGAGGAGGAGCACCTCCGGAGGAGGAAGGAAAGCCTGTACGATGATGATGAAGCACCCGGCAAAACGGTCATCATGGCTCAAGACCTGGAGGACAAGTGGGAACAGAAGTTACAGCAATTCAAAGCTGCTTCACGGGTAACAGGTACAGGCTGAAGTTTGTGGTGGGTGAGAACATGCTAATCGTCTGACAAACACAGAGGAGTGTAACTCAATGTAGGAAAAGAATTGGCTAAGCTGTTTTTGTTTTAAAGAGGGTCTTGACTCTTTGGCAGCACCATTAGCACATGAGGAATTAACTGGCTGATAAGGGAATCAGTGTTCCCATGCTGCAAAGTGCATGTTCACGCAACCTTATTAGAGCAAAGCAGTGAAAATGGACGTTGTTTCCAGACGAGAAACCTCGGGTCACTTGGTTCCTGAGCTTGCCTAGTTTTCTTGTTGATTTTTGTCAAGCTGGAGATCCAGGCTGCTTGCTATAAATTCTCTTTGGAAGTGAAACTACAGGTAGAGTGCAGTTTAGCAGTGGATTCCAGCAGAATTCTGCATTGGCTTCCAGAGTGACTGAGACTATTTCTATCTAGATTTTTGTCTTGTTCCATGTATTCGTGTTTGTGTATTGTTGCTGGAAGGGTGTGAGATATGGAGGGTTGATGAATCAAGGAGATCAGAGCAGTGTTGCCAGGAGACTTTGTTTCCAGCATGTCTTGGTTTTTTTGGCAGATGCTGATAAAAACAACAATCGAATGTCATTGAACAGGAAGCTGGACAGTAACCTCATGCTTCTGGTGAAACAGAAAATTGGTAACCAGGAGCTGTGGCTCCTGCCTCAAGTGGAATGGCAGCCTGGAGAGACGCTGCGAAGCACAGCTGAGCGAGCAATGGCTACGTTTTTGGGTGTGTAGTTTGCGGTGTGCCTCCCCCTCCCTCCTCCTTGTCCCAGTGGTTTTCTTCCTGTGCCCTATCTGAGTGATATTTGCCATCTGCTGTAGTGAAATTGCCTCCCATCTGCTGGGAAAAGGCATTTCATGGCAGAGGGACGGAGCTCAATGAGGGTGGGCTTTCTGGCAAGAGCCGTGATCCTGGGTAATCAGCTCTGTAACTATGCACTGTTGCAGGGCGACTGCAGCGTGTGGGGGGCTGACAGGGCTGGCAGACTCTGAGTTGGGATCTCTGGCTGCCAGCAGCGGTGGTGTTGGGACTGGCCCTCGCAGTCTGATGTTGAAGCATCACCAGATGCCCCCTGAATGGTCTAGGCTTGCTCCAGCTATAGCAGCAGCTTTTGTGGCAGATGGGTGATAGCAAACCCACGTGTCCCTGCTTTTCGGTGTGGGTTGGTAAAGCTCTCTCACTCCACTTGCTAGACTCCAGGACAAGTTGTTTTTTTCATGAGAAAATGCTGACAATTGGCAATATTTCTGCTAAGAAGGAACAGTTGGCCTGAACCAGATACACAGAGTGTCTTATGCTGTCTTTCTGTTACTACAGGAGAGCAGTTACTGTTACTGTATATACTTATGTCTTGTTTTCTGTTTTCTTTCTCTTGCGTTGCTGGGGTCTTGCAGGAGATCACATTCAAGCCAAAATCCTGGGGAATGCACCATATGGGTTTTACAAGTATAAATTCCCCAGGGCCATCAGGACTGAGGATAATGTGGGAGCCAAAGTATTCTTCTTCAAAGCCTTCCTCCAAAGCAGTGATTTGTCCCAGACGGAGCTGAAGGAAGATTACCTGTGGGTCACAAAGGACGAGCTGGGAGATTACTTGAAGTCGGAATATCTGAAAAAAGTCAATCGATTCCTTCTGGACTTATAAGCAATAGGCTGTGCTCCAGCAGATGGGGAAGATGTGGGATGCGACTCCAGGGAGGAGCACAGCTGCTCCTTTGCATGGTCTGTGTGTATGAGATGTTAACTTGGGCTCTGGAGGATAATTTGCCTTTGCCTTATTTCCCAGTTCTCTTCACCGGGCCTGTACTAAATAAATATTAAAACTTATACTAGGAAGTGAAGCTCTCCTCAGGGAGTTCTTTGCTCTTGTTGAATCCTCCTCCACCTCTTCTGGAAATGCATGTTATGATCTTTTCCTCTCCCAAGTGTGCGATTCCCTGGGGCTGTGGTAGCTGGGAGGCTCACTTTCCTCACCAGACTCCTGTCATAGTCTAGAGCTCGAGTAGTTTCTTCTAAGCAATGGCTAATGCTTGTCTCCGGCACCTGCTTTTTACTAAAAGCAGCACTGGAGGGGTTATCTGTGCGTCCGGGTGGGAACAGACCCTCCTGGACATGAGGCTGTCCCAGGTGGGTTTCTGGGGAGGTGGAAGCTGGGATATTCACGGTTTGTTCACATTTAATCTGTGCTGGAGCTGCCTCTGGTGTGGTGGCCGTGGAGGACACAGATGCATGAGGAATAGGCAGCAGCTCACTCTTCAGGTGGGTGCTGCTTTCCCACCCACACTGCTCTCCTCTTGAGCCTCAATCTGTAGCAACAGACACTGAAGGAGGGTAACATTGGAGCAGCAGCTCTCTGTCTGGACTGAGAGGCTAATTTTTGCTTGCAAGGGAAGGCTGCTTATGGGAGCAGCCTCAAAGGTGCCTCTGAGGAGTTCTCAGTTCCCATTCCTGGTGTGTTAGGCCAGCACTGCTAACCCAGCCTAGCCGTGTCTGCCTCAAGTAGCCTGACCCTATTACCCCAATTCCTTTAGTAGAAGATCTATCCTGGGCTTATGTGGTGCTGTCTCACTTCTCTGGGCCTAATTCTATTTCTTGGTGGTTTTTTTCTGGTTGTAAATGTTGCTGTTTGGTAGTCAGAGCGTTGGCTGGACCTTGCAGAGAATCAGCCTTCTTCGGCAGCAGGCAGAGAGGGAGGAAATAGCTGTCGTTAATCATCAGGAGAGAGTTCGGCCTCCAGAGGTGGAACTGGAGATTGCTATATATATTTTATCAATCCTTTGGGAGCTGTTGAGCTGCAGGCCTCAAATTAAAGCTATCCTTAATCACTCCACAAGCCATTGGGGTGGGGGGGGTAGCACATCAGCCTTCTATTTTCTAACCCTGGGCAGTTTGGGAGCTGCAGGCTTGCCATAAATTACCAACAAAACAAAAGTTGGTTTCCTGAAGCACCCTCGCAGGCCTGGCAAGGAGGCTGTGTCTGCATCAGAGAGCACTTGCAAAGAGGAAATAAATGTGGAGCAGAATATGTGCTTGAAAAACTGCAGATCTTTTGGCTTCTGTCTGAGGTCAGCACTGCTGAAGGGGAAACTGTTGCCTTCTCCAGGACTGAAAGCTCCTGCAGAGGGGACAGGTGAGTCCTTTCCCTCAGGCTGTGTCCCACCAGCCTGGGGGAGCATGGGTGCGCTCAGCTCGGGATTGGGCTTTTCTCTGCTGCTCTGTTTCAGGCTGTTGCTGGCCCTGTAAGCACACAGCACCTGAACAGCACTTTGTGGGCACAGGCTTAGGACATGCCCTTTGCCAAGGTCTCTGTCCCATTTCCCATGCCAAAGGCAGGTTTTGTGTTGCTGGAGGGAAACTTTCAAAGCATTTAAAATGCTGTTTTATCAGTCCTTATTTACTCTCAAGACCAGGAGCACAAAAGTGAGAAAAGGCTGTACTGAAAGCTTGCCGATCTTCACACCTAAGCGGTTTTATTCTCTGGTTTGCTCAAGCTACAAGTCTTTGGGCATTGTCTGTGCTGAGAGGTGTAGCTCCCTCCAGCAGTGGAAAGGTCAGAATCAACAGCCTCCTTCATTTTTTTTAAAATCTTTTTCCTTGGGCTGAGGCCTTTGTTCTTACAGGTAGCAGGTGTGTGAGAAGCTTGGTCTTTTCTGGAAGCTGAAATTGTTATTTTCTCATCACCTAAAACACAAATTCCTGCTTGCAGCCTGCATAGGAACAGCGCTGCTTTTTTTTTTTTTTCTTTTTATAGTTGATTTTATTTAAAACCCCTCAGCCAGTTGCTGCAAACAGTCTCAGATCCTGCAACATGGGTGCTTTTGCTCGGTTCTGTGTGGCCTCTTTCCCCCACCCCCAGCCTCAGTGAGAGCAAGGGCAGAAGGATATCATGCAGGTTTCCTAGGGGAGAGGATGGTTTGTATCTTCTCATCTCCTCTCTACTCCCAGAGGTGCTGTGGTAGATTGCTGAGGCTGTTCTTTTCCTTTGAGAACTTGGTGGCTGCAGGCTGTCTTTCCACTCAGTGCAAATCTATGCCTGTTCTCCTTGCAGAGTTGCAGAAGTCTGATCAGGCAGGCTGGTGGGATATATTTTGCTGGTAACTACTGAAAGGATAGCACAAAGCCTTAAAACCTTTCTGAGAGAGCTTTTCTGTCTCCTGGAACAGAAGAGACCTGTTGAGTCCTGTGTGGGAGGGCACTGCCGTAGCCGCAGTGTGCCTTCTGCGGTCCAGCACAAGGAGCAGGGGGAGCATTTCACTTGTGTTGAGCGTGAAACGCAAAACTCCCCTTGTAAATGTGACAGGGACCCGCATCAGTGTTTGCCTGGGTGTTGAGGGGGTCTCGAGCTTGTTTGCACCCAAAGCCTGGAGAGTATTTCTCACCTTGGCAAAGGCTTCCTCACATGACATCTCTCTGTTAGCACGTGAAGCCGCAGCAAGTACCTGTGAAGGCAGTGAGTTTGCTGTGGCTCTTTAGTGCAAGGCACAGTCAGATCAATCGAAGAGCTCTCCTGTGAAGTGTGCACCGGAGAGAGGTGTTTTGGGAAGGACCTGTGACTCTGCTTTGAGAGCAGCAATGTGGGGCTCATCTAAGAAGTCCAATGTAAGATCAGTGCTGCAGCTGCTGGGGCCGGTGTCTGAGTGTTATCCTCCCCTAACTGTGCACATCGGGGAGGAAGCTGGAGAGCAGTCAGACTGCGGAGACTTTCCGCTCCTTGAAGCCACTTTCAGCACTGGATATTTCC